AGCCACAGTGCTTTCTTCTCGGTGGTGGTGGTGGCGGGTAGGTGGAGGGGTGGTCTTTCCCCTCCCTGGCTACAGGACCTGGAAGGATGAGCCCACAGCAGCATCAAGGCACTGCTAATCTTTCAGAACCCAGGGCGCTCTGCCCTCATGGTCGTTTGCAAGAAAGGCAGTGGTGCTTCCTCCTCTAGGAAGCCTTCCTTTCAGGATCCCATCCACTTGCTTCCTGTCATGGCCCACAAGTTATGTCCCATGTGCCCTCTTCCCTAATCTTCAAATTCCTTGAGCATCCTTACTGCTTGCTGCATGGGCCAGGGACAAGCCTGGGATCAGGAGCCCCCTAGGGGAACTGGGGGGTTCAGCGCACCAGGAATTAGAAACTCATGCTCCCCTCCCCACCCATCCATCAGAATGGGCACATTTTCCCCAGCTCCCACCCCATAGACCACAGCCCTGCCTCTAGTGCCTCTCATGGCTCATGTTCACCTGCAATGCCCTCCTGGCTGCTCTCCCCCACTCCTGAATTCCCTTTCAATCTCACTTCTTTCAGGCAGCCTTCCAAGATAGGTCCAGCTTTTCCCTTCACCCCACTGCCCTGGGAGGGGGTGCTGTGCACCACATGCCCAGCCTGGCATAGACTGACTTTGGGATGTAGAGGGAGGCGGGGCAAACCCACTTCAAGTGACCATGACTCACCAGGCCTGCGGCTTCCTCTTCACCAGCCCCCGGTGCCGCCTCCACTGGGAGTGGGGGCTGAGATGGTATGTCAGCTGCCGGCAAAGCTTCTCCATGGCACCCAGTGCATCACCTTCCTGCAAAGGCAACCACAGGTGACTGGGTGGGTGGGGTCCCTGTGTCACTGGAGTAGGGTAAGGTGGACCCAGGCCCCCACCTCCAGCTTCCTGCCCTGAAGGAAGAACATGACACCCCCAGGCTGAGCTGGGGGAGGCCTGATCTGCTGGCTCAAGGTGGGTGCCCTTAGCAGAGCAGTGGTTGGTTGCAAACTGATCTGCACAGGGTTTTAGTTTTGCGAATTAGTTGCTATCATTGAAAAAAATGGAGATTTATTTAAAAGTAAATGAGCATAATGGCTCTGGACATTGGGGATTTCAGCTTATCTGAATTGACTGGAGCTGAGTTACCAGCTGATCCCTTAGCCAGGATTCACTATGATCCCTGCCACTCCCCAGTGTCCAGAGCCGTTATGCTCATTTACTGGTTCAACAAATATTTACTGAGTACCTCCTAGATGCCAGGCACTTCTAGGTGCTGACAACACAGCTACCAACAAATGTCCTTATGAGAGGCTGAGAGCCTACCACAGAGCCCTGTATTTGTATTTCAACAGTAAAGAGGAAAATGAAATATTTTTACCATGATTCTTTTACCCATGTCAAAAGTGGGAAAATAAAAGAATGAAGGGGCCATGTTTTTCCCAACCCAATTCATTCATCTACGTTACCTATCTGGCCCATTAGCATTTGAGTTTGAGACCCTAGGTGTTATGACTGTGTCCTCCCAAAAAACATCCTTACTTTGAAGTCCTAATTCTCAATACCTCAGATGTGACCTTATTTGGACACAGGACCTCTAAAGAGTAAGGTAAAATCCAGTGACTGGTGTCCTCATAAGAGATTAGGACGCAGACATGTACAAGCGGAAAGACCATGTGAAGACACAGTGAGAAGACAGCCATCTACAAGCCAAGGAAAAAAGCCTCAGAGGAAACAAACCTTGCCAACACCTTGATCTTGGACTTCTGGCCTCTAGAACTGTGAGAGATAAATTTTTGTTATTTAAGTGGTATTTTGTTATGGCAGCCATAGCAAACTCATATTTTGGGTTAAGGTGTGCAACAGAGAGATCCTAGAGTTTCCAACTCCATCCCAAAGGAAGTCAATTTGACAGTCATTGAGCCCTGGGAGAGGGAGTGGCCAAGTGTGCTCCTGCCAAATCTGGGTCCAGTGCCAGGGTCAAGGGCTAGAATGCCAGGGCTTAGATGCAAACCCACTTGTGATAGCAACGTGGGTGTGGTGAGGTTCAACCATTAACGCACAACCAGTGCTCAGCAGAGCACTTGGCACAGAGTGAGTGAGCACTCCGTAAAAGCCAGCTTGATTCTTATCATCATTACACTGCTCATGGAGAAGCAACATAATGAGTAAGAGCATGAACTTGGCACCAAACTGTGGATTCAGATCCTTGCTTTATCACTTCCTGTGTGACCTTAGGCAAATCACTTGACCTCTCTATGCCTCTGATCCTCATCTTTGAAGGGATAATAGTACCAACCTCACAGGGGATTTTGTGAGGATTAAATGAGTTATTACTTGTAAAGTTCTCTGAATATACCTCAGCGTGTAGTAAGCTCTCTAGGAATGCTTGCTGAATCAATACTCTGCTATACTGTAAGAGCAGCGCAAACACATGGAACTCTGGTAGGATAAAGAAAGATCACTTCTGCCCAGGATCAGATTTGAGCTGGGCTTTTAAGAGCAGATGGATTAGTCTGTCCCTTGACTAAGGGCTTGGCGGTATAGGGAGAGGTGACATCTGGGGCCTCACTTCTCACCACTTCCATGGCTACCACTTTAGTTCAAGCCATTATCGTCTATCACCTGGATTAGTGCACACAGACGTGCGAGGAATTCCCACAGTACCCTAGAATAGTAAATGCTTTCATTATCCTAATTTTACAGAGGAAGAAACTGAGGCTCAGAGGGCCAGGGCTGATAGATAGGCAAGAAGAGGCTTGGAGGGAGACGAGAGACAGAAGAGGTAGGAAGAGGGGAGCTGAGTGTTTGAAAAGGTGAACACCTGCACAGGAATACAGCAGGCCAAGGAAGGCCCAAGACTGAATGGAATCAGTTTAGGGGAAACCTCTGGCCTCTAATTCTCCACGAGCCTTGTCACTTTCTATTGCCTAAGCCTGCCTGAGAAGCAGATGTTACCTGTCACTCTGGAAAACTACATTTACAACCCCTGGGGGTGACATGTTTTGATTCCTGGACTTCATTTCTTGCTAAGCCTGGACATATGGGTGTGTGTGATGGGAAATAATGGGTAGTGAGAGAGGCAGAGACTCCACCTTAGGAGCTGCAGGGTAATCACTGGATGAGAAACAGCAGGATTACATTTGCATTTTCAGACTGTCCTCTAACTGGGGGAGATGGAGAAAGGGGAGGACTGGAGGTAGAGAGGGTGACTCAGGGCCAGGCTCATCTGCTTATGTGTGGTTTGGGGCATCCCTGCCAGGCCCATGGAAAGGGCTGAAAGTGACAAAGTCTACCACACTTGACTGACGATATACAGGATGCAGAGGGTATGGGCAGGGAAGGGATGAGTAGGGGTCTTGGCTTTGGGCTTGGAACCTAGGTAGAAGGCAAGAGGCTCTGGAGAAGCAGGTGAAAAGGCAGGATGGGGGAATGACCAGCTCATGTGGGGCCATGTGGAGTTTGAGAGGCCTATGGGACCTCCAGCTGGAAGATGTGATTGGATTTATGGGGCTGGACCCCAAGACAGGTCCAGGCTGCACACGTTCATCAGCATCTGATTAAAGCCCCTGGCCAGGAAATGAGCCAAGGGGGATGGCAGGGGGGAACAGCTACATTATCAAAGGGGCAGAGAGACATACTGGACATGATGAAACAGAACGCACAGTCAGAGAAGCAGAAGTAAGCAGAGCCATGGCACCAAAGAAAAGGGTCGTTGGCACTCCAATGAGGAGGGCTTGGTCAGCATAGGCTCTGAGGGGAGCAGTCATGGTAAGGGCCAGGGTGAAGGCCAACTTTAGAGACCAAAGGGAGAATGGGGGGTGACAATGGATATGGTGATCTAGAGCCACAGTTCTTCACCTGGGACTCGTACACTGGAATCACGAGAGCTTTAAAAAACACTGCTGCCTGGGCCACCCCCAGCAATGGGTGGTCAGTTTGGGTTTTTTTCAAAGCTCCCCAGGTGATTCTCCTGTGCTGCGAAGGTGGAGAACCACTTTGAAGACAAGGACAGTGGATAGGATCTGGTGGTTTGCCCAGTGTCTCTCCTGGGACCACCTTGGGACAGGACGTTGCCAGCCTCCCACAGCACGTGCTCCAAAGCTGAAAACTGAGCTCCTCAGCTTTGGCTCCTCCTCCAAACACTTCCCAGAGTTTCCAAAATCAGGGGTCACAGGCTCTCCCTCCATCCTCCAGGCCTGGACAGCCGGGCCTTGAAGGAAGAAACAAGAAAGGAGGCAAAACAGCCGCTGCAGTGCTCGAGTGCTGCCACAAGGGGCAGCCATCGCAGAGTGAGGCACAGAGTTGACTCCACAGGGCTGTTCCTGACCTCGGAGACTGGGGAGCCTCCTTTTGGACTAAATGGGGACAACAGAGTTGATTTGAGACTAAACGTGAGCTAATGTCCTCACAGAAGTGATAGCTTCTCTGGACTAAGTAAACAACAGCTAACATTTCTCAAGTATCCACTATGTGTGATAGGCATCGCCTCTGTGGATTGCATGCATGAACTCATCATAATCCTATGAAACAGGGGCTGTTATTCCCACTTTACAAACAAAGGAACTGAGGCACAAAGGTGAATAGACTGGCAAGCCACACCACGTGTAAGAGGTATTAAGATCAAACTGCAGGCTCTGAGGCTGGTGCTCCCAACCTTCCACCTGCCTTGCGCTCTGCTCTGCCCACCTGGTGATAATCTTTCACTTAGGTTAGTTCACAGTGTCTCTATCATTTACACAGAGAATAACCATAAGCAGGCCCTCCTACTAATTTTTTCTCAACTCCATCACTTTTCAAGACCCCTCCAGCCTGCCCTCCTACGGAAAACAGGACAAAGCAGGACAGGCCCAGAGATGGCAGCGTAAGAAGAGAAGGTGGGGGAAAGAGGGCAGGACGTAAGGTGAGAGAGGAGGCAAAGGAGGAGGAAGTGCCATTTTTATGTGGTTTCGAGGAGGAAGTGCCATTTTCATGTGGTTTCAGCATCAAGAAACAGCTGCCTCCCAGGTACAAAGCAGCCATGCGCACCTTGTGCAACCCTGGTCAGGGAGCTCTGACCATAGGCACTGCATGTTACACACCGTGGGCCCTGCACCCAGCATTCTGATGGTCTGCTGGCCCCTCTCTTCTGGGAACTTTCTTCTGAAAGTGTTGTGGCCCAGCAGCCCTTCTGTGCAACCAGATCCCATTACAAAGCTACAGTCGACTGATCCAGAAGTGGACACTGGCAGAGCACAGCCAATCAGCCCTTCTTTGGAATCATGACTTGAGACAGTGTATATACTGCTGACTCCTCAAGGCTGGACACTGACCTGTAAATCTGGAGCTGCAGGAGGCCCTCTTTCCTGCCCTGAAGCCTGGGTAAGGAGTGAAGAGTGTGGTGTCGGGGTGAGGTGGGGGAGGCAGCAGAGGGGAGATGTCTGCACTGTTTGTAGTTCTAGTCCCTCTTTCAAGCTCAACTGCCTTTGGGTGCCACAGGACCCCTCAGTTTCAAGGATAAATGTTCTCCCTTCCTTTGAGGCAGCCTGAGTGGGCTTCTGGCACTTGTGGCACAGTCCTAACTGGAGGCTCAAAGGCAGTTTGCAGAATTAATTCTGGAACTCTTCAGTCCCACCCATGGCAAAGGAAGAAGGCAGGAGAGGGGCATGGCGAAAGTCAGGGGTGACTCAGCACCACAGGGTGGCATGTGGGTCAGGGCGGCAGCCTCTCTGGACCTGCCCAGTGCTGGAAGCCCTGGAGAAGAATCTGTTTGAGGGACTCTCACTGACCTGTCAGAAAGATGCTGAAGGCAGATCTGCACTCTCATCCAGGGGGGGTCCCAGTGCCAGAGCACTGCCCCATCTCTCAGCTGCCAGACGGTGACACCTACCCACTATCTTCACTTTCCCAGGCAACTTTGCATGCTGCCTTCAGGACCCAAGTAAGGATAGCTTTCCACTGCTGTATGTCCAAAGGCTTCCTCGTTCACTCATCAAATACTGACTGCATGGCCTACTTTGCACTGGAGACCATGTGCTGGCTTTTCTGCTTACTCCCTCCTCCCAGTCCATTCTTTGCCCTTCTCTGTGCTCAGAAGGCTGAACTCCATACATGGCATCACCTAGCCCTCTTGCCCACGTTTCCTAGTTGGGTTAAGCTAATGGGAACAACTGGGAGAGAAATCAAAGGGCAGGAGGAGAGAAAGGTCAAGGAATTTATTTTTCTCATTCTTTTCCTGCTTTAGTATGTGTGGCAGCCAGCCTCCAAGACAGCCCTCACGATCCTGGCCTCCTGGTATTTGTCCTCCTGTGTTGTCTCCTTCCATACTGTCTTGGGGTTGATCTGGGCGATCAGTAGAATATGGCAGCAGTGATGGTATGTTACTTCTGAGGCTACGTCATAAAAGATATTGTGGCTTCTACCTTGCTTTCTCTCTGGGAGGAACTGGCTACGATGATGTGAGGACACTAAAGCAGTCCAATGGGGAAGCCCATGTGGCAAGGAACTGAGACCTCCTGCCAACAGCTGTGGAATGCACCATTCTGGAAGTGGGTCTGCCAACCTCTGTCAGGCCTTCAGATATATGCAGCAGCCTTGGCCAATGTCTTGAGACCCTCAGCCAGAACTACCTAGCTAAGCTGCTCCAGAATTCTTGACCTACAGAGGCTATACAGCAATAAATGTCTTGTTTTAACCCCTTAAGTTTTGGGATGATTTGTTATGCACAATATAAAACACAGGCATTCTCACCTTGGCTCCAGCGATACAGCTTCCACCTGCAGCCCCTTGCATGGTAACGACTTCCTGCTACTGCTAGTGTTTGGGGGTCTCAACGTCCCCTGTTCATTTCCTTTATCTTGCCCATAACCCTGGAAATAGCCCCTTAATGAACTCTTAAAAATTCTCAATGGAAAAGGTCTCCTGCTTCCTACCAGGGCCCTGCCTGGTGCAGGATGTAACCGTGAACAGACAGATGCTGTCTCTTGCCCCTGTGGAGTTTACTTTCCAATGGGGAAAGCAGATAATATGTTAGCCAACAAATAAATAAGCAAGATAATTTTGGAGACCAGTGAGTGAAATGAAGAAGTAAATAGAGCGTGAGACAGAGGCTGATTGGGAGAACAACTCAAAGAAGGCCTCTGAGAGGTGACGTTCAGGCTGAGTCTGGAGAGTGAACCTCAGACAGAGTAGGCAGGTACGGTCAGGGGCGACAGCAAAGTCCCTAAGGTAGGAGAGGATCTGGATGCTCCAGGAACCGAGAGGAGGCCCATGTGGCTAGAGCAGAGTCAGCAGAGTGGAGAGTGGGAGATGAGATGGAAGATTCCAGCAGGGCCAGGCAAAGAGTTTGGGTTTTATTTAAATTACAACACAATGCTACATGGAAGGTTTTTCAGCAAGTACATAGAGGATCTAATATACCTTTGCAGATGGCTCTCTGGCTGCTTCCAGAGCATAGAAAGGAGGCCCAGAGTCCAGCTGGAGGCTATTCCAGTAGACCTAGGACTGGCCAGGCCCCTGGGCCTCCAGCAGGGCCAAACCCTCTGGCTGGTTCTGGCAATCTGGGTCAGAGGTCAGCCTGGTAGATTCCAAGTCTCTGAGTCCACAGGGGCCAGGGTCTAGGGCCATGTCTTACTTGCCACCGTGTCCCACAACTGACCTGCTAGGTCTGAGCACCCTGCTTAGCACGTGGCTGGTGCTCACCAATTAGTTACACCTCAGCTTCTGCACATGGAGTGTTCAGTTGTGCCAGGCACATGCCAGTGCTTCTCAAGAAGCATCTCACTGAACCCTCAAAACATCCCTATAGGAGAGTATTGTTGTGCCCACCTTTGTTGAGAAAAATGAGGTTCAGCTAATTAAGTGATCTGAAAAAGTTTACACCCGGGCAATGGACTGAATGTTTGTGTTCCCCCAAGTCAGATGTTGAGCCCCAATCTCAATGTGATGGTATTTGGAGGTAGGGCCTTTGGGAGGTGATTAGGATAAGCTGGGGTTATGAGGGTTATAAGAAGAGGCCAGAGAGTTAGCTCCCATTCTTTCTGCCACGTTGAGGATACAATGAAAAAGAAGCTGTCTGCAAAGCAGGAAGAGGGCTCTCACCAAGAACCTGACCATGTCGACACCCTGATCTCAGACTGCCAGCCTCCAAAACTATGAAATAAATTTGTTGTTTATAAGCCATGCAGTCAATGGTAATTTGTTATAGCAGCCCGAGCTGAGACAGCACACATATGGCTCCTCTGGCCCCCATCCAGATGGAAAGGATGGATGGCAGAGCAGAACCCTTGGCCAGCTCCCTTCTCAGCCCTGTCCTGTTTCCCAGTGTCTGACACAGGCAGTTAACCACCTGCAGGCCCTTTCTGTGTGGAGGGAAGCTGTCTCCACACAGGCCCCGACCCCCTGTGCTGGCCGCAGCACCATGAGCCCCGGGTGAGCAATGACAGCCCAGAGACCCGGTACTTAAGCACCCTGTGCCCTGTCTAGCACTGGGGCCCAACTCCCACCTGGGGTTCTCAACTGGGGTGTGACCTTTCTCAGATCACTTCATTACCTAAACTACATCTTCTTCAACTCTAAAATGGGCATGAAGGTAATGCTTCTGTTATTGAGTTGCTTTGAGCACCCTATAGCCTGTCACCCTTCTCACTGTGGGTAACTAAACCTATGCTCTAGAAAAGGCAGGGGTCTGGCAACTGCAAAGCCTCCTACAGCCTCAGTCTCAGCTTCCCAAGGCTGCTCCAGGTATAATCTGAATGAGCAGAGAGAGTGGTTCCAGCTCCAGTCTGTTCCCCATTGCTCCTGGCACCAGCTCCTCTTCTCTAGGCCTTGAGGTTCCCAATCTACCACCCTCATAACTGGCTTTTTCTTACCTTTGCATATTTGAGTCCAACATTCTTGCCTTCTGCTATATCCCCCCACCAACCTGCTCCCACACCTGCTCCCAATCTGCTTCCAGCCCTCCACAGCTAGGCCCCAATCTCTGAGTCTTGGCACCAGACAGCCCCAGAAGCCAGAGAAAAGACCAACACAAAGCCCCAGAGAGAGGGTCGTCTCTGAGCAAGGTTCCAGCCCCCTAGTTGACAGTGTTCAAGTCTGTACCCAGGCTGAGCAAGGGGTGGACTTGGGAAACACCTCCTCACTCGTATCCCAGATCCTTCTCTGAAAGAGGAAGTGTCCTTCCAGCACTCCTTGGACCTGCTCTGGCTTCCTGCCCTTGGCACAGAGAAAGCACTTCTTTTGGAAGATGCTGGAAATTGAGGGATGGAAGAGAAGGAACCAAAACAACATAAAGAAAAGCTCAAGCCTTGAGCTGCCCCATCACAGCCCTCTCCTTCCCTGCCAGGCACCTGATGGGTAGGTCTGGGAAGCCAACCTGGAGCCCAGCAAGGCCCATGGCCTATCCTGGGCCTTGGAGCCAGCAGGAAGAGGGGCAGACCCTCCCATCCAGAAGGGGCTGAGCAGTGCCTGTGGAGCCCAGAGATCCCTAGAGCTTTTCTTGCTCAGCTCCCAAAGCCAGGCAGGTAGTAGATATGAACAAAGTGAGTGGTTGTAAAATGACACTCAGCATCAGAGCGAAGACAAATGGAAGTGGTGGGGACTGAGGCAAACTGGGGAACACCACGCAGGGCCACTGCTAGACGTACACTGCACCTTTGTACAAACAAGAAAAAGCCCACTTCTGGTGGACAGTCTTGCCTGCACCAGCGCCCATGGCTTGGTGGGCAGAGAGAGGGCTAGATTCGAATTGCCTCCTCTCTCCCCCAACCCCTGCCACTTTTGTGTTTGCATGTCTTTGCGCAGGGCACAACCTGCACAACTGTACATGGTGGCCCCAGCCCCACATAACAGGGGTGGCTACCTGGCTCCAGCCCTATAGAAATGAGGGCCTCATGTTGCTGGAGCTCTCCATTTTTCAAGGGCAGCTGAATATAATGATTGTGTGAAATATTCTGATTTTTAAATGTTGGTAATGAAGACTTAAAACACCTCATGGGCCAAACAAAACCTGTGCTGATGATGCCAGTGTGTGGCCTTCACCATGGTTGCTCGGCCTCAGGCCTGACCTCTTGGTGCTTCTGTGTGGGGGCCCATTTTCTCTGGGCTTGGGCTGCGTCAACCAGCCCTCCTTGGACACTGAGCTGCTCTCCTCAGGAAGTTGCTTGCCTCACACCCCTGGACCTGGCTGCCTTAGACCATAGCCTCCCTACCGGCTTGGGGCAGTGGATGTAGCGGGCCAGGCTGATGATGAGGTCATGTGTGATGGGGTCCACCAGGTTCCGGAAGCTGGCGTAGCGGTACAGAACATCGTCCAGTGAGGTTGACTCCATGCCTAGGTCCTGTAAGAGTGAAGGATGCCCAGAGGTCAGGGGCGGTTCTGCCCTACCCTTGACTCCCACCCAAATGCCCAGAACAGTCCCCTGGAGGCGGCTCAGCCTGCCTTATAGCAGAGCCCTGGCAAGGGAGGAGAACCCCCACTTTGAAGAGGTTTCCCAACTTGCAAGGAAGCATCTACAGAACTTCTCCCAGGGGCCAGGCAAACCTCTGCAGAGCTGGCCTGCCCTGTTTATGGCCCTCTCCCAAGACAGCCCCCCAGCCATCGCCTCTCTGGTTCTCCAAGGACAAAGCCAAGGATTGCTGGCCAGGTGCAGTGCTCATGGCTGCTTGTCCATCTAGGGCAAACTTTGAAAACGGCATGCATAGTAAATTCCCCTGCTTTGTGATAGGATCATGCATTGATATTTGGTTTTTCTTGCTTCTGAGGTAATTTTTACTGCACCTTCTGTAGATGACCCAACCTCGGTATTCCTTTGTGTTAGGGGTGTTTCTGAGTTGTGGGGTTGAAGGGAAGAGTTGCCAGGCACCAGGAAGAAAATCCCACCAGGGCTCACAGAGGAAGGGTATCAAATGTGTCCTTCTAATCCTTATATATTGCTGGTGGGACTGCAAATGGGTACAGCCACTATGGAAAACAGTATGGAGGTTCCTCAAAAAACTAAGAATTGATTTTTCATATGATCCAGCAATCCCTCTACTGGGTATTTACCCCATAGACTTGAAAACCCATATCCAAAAAGATATTTGCACACCAATGTTCATAGCAGTATTATTCACAGTGGCCAGGACATGGAAGCAACCAAAGTGTCCTATGATAGATGACTGGCTAAAGAAGCTGTGGTACATATATACAATGGAATATCAGTCATAAAAAGAGATGAAATATTGCCATTTGCGACAACATGGATGAACCTCGAGATAATCATGCTAAGCGAAATAAGCCAGACAGAAAAAGTTGAAAATCACATGATATCACTTATATGTGGGATATAAACCTAAAAGCAACAAATGAGCAGGACAAACAAACAGAGACTCATGGACATGAACTATAGGCTAGTGGTTACCAGAGGACTATAGACTAGTGGTTTCTAGTGGGGTGGGGGAGGAGGAGAGAGGTAGACGGGGTCAAATATATGGTAGCTGAAGGAAACTAGACTTTGGGTGGTAAACACACAATAGAATATACAGATATAAATGATAATGTACACCTGCAAATTATATAATTGTATTAACCAATGTTACCCCAATAAACTTAATTAAAAATTAAAAACAAAACAAAATAAAACAAATGGGTCCTCCTAACTGGAGGGAAGGGAGCCTGGTGCATGGGACACTGAGTGGGTCAGGAGCAGTGGCAGAAACCACTGGGACAGAGGCCTGAGGAAGAACAAGAGTTTGTGAGGTTCCACACACTGAGAGCCCAGGCTGAGAGCCTCTTAAGAGACCCCTGCCGACCAGGAAGGGACTCAAGGGCTTGACCAAGAGCAGTGACCAGTGTGGATTAGGAACCAAGCGCCCTGCTCCAAGTGTTCTAGATTGTATAAGGCCCCAAGATTCTTGCACAACTCCAAACACGACTAAGCTTGAATTTCCCACCAGCCAAGCTGGTGGGAGCTTGAAATGGAGTAAATTGCTTTAGAGAAATAAACATGGTTTTCTACCCTAGAGTGTTGGACTAAAAACTACATGAGAAAGAGCATGCGTATACCTTCTGCCTTTTCTTGAACCCTCCCCTCACTTTCTGTTGTCCTTGGGTGGGAGCAGAGATTCCTGCTTCTAGCTTGGTACCTTGCACAAGCCAGGCAATGATGACATTTGCACCCCAGGGACTACCCCCACCCCACCTTGAGGATCAAGGAGGCCACTGAGTGTGGGCAGGGAAAGCAGGCACCACCTACATTTGCTGTCCTCGCTCTAAGATCCCTAGGTCACCAAGCCACACATGGAGTTGCCCCAGCACAGCCCAGAGAAGGAGGCTCCCAGCCCAGGCTGCCAGAGTTCAGTATCCTGGGGACAGGAAGTGTGTGGGTGATGGGTGAGTCCCAGTAGGGGTTTGCTGCGATTTCAGTGGGATAGCCTTAACTTTTCTAAATGCCTTCCCCATGTGATTCTTACACATCCCTGCAAGGCAAGTAGGCTGGGCATCATTAGTCCCAATTTACAGATGAAGAAACTAAGAACCAGAGTGGATGACTTCTTTAACTTTTAGAATTGCTGGAATAGAATGTAAAACTGATGACCACAATTAACACTACTGTATGGTATACTCGAAAGTTGCTAAGAGAGTAGATCCTTATTTTAAAAAGAGGCTAAAATGGAGTCACTTTTGCTAAGCCACGTCATCACCAAACAAAAACTTAATAACTAACCTAATTGCAGTTCCAGCCTCTTCCAGGAATGGAATTTTAAACCATTCAGTCTGGAATGTTCTGGTCAGCACTAGTGAGGTGATCTGCTTGATAAGACCCCTGACTTCCTCTAAGGAAAGGACAATTTACCTGAAATAATCTACTCTTTTAACATCTTAGTTCCTCATTTTCTGCCTATGAAAAACTTTCATTTTGTACAACTCATTGAAACACCTTTCTATTTACTAGATGGGATGCTGCCTGATTCATGAATTGCTTAATAAAGATCTTCAAATTTACTTGGGTGAATTTTGTTCTTTAACATCCTAAAAGTTCTCACCACAAGCTGAAAAAAAACCTCATTTTTTCTTTTTTTCTAACTACATGAGATGACTGGATGTTAACTAAATTCATTGTGGTAACCATTTTACATCATATGTAAGTCATCATGCTATAGTTTTAAACTTTGCAGGCTGTATCTCAGTTATAGCTCAAAAACCTGAAAAAAAAAATCACATGTAATAAAGATGTTAAAAAATTTTTCAGAAATGATGAGGGTGGGTCTATGCCCCCACTCTGGGGCCTGCTTTAGTATTACCCTGACTTATCTGGAGTTGGGCAGGACGCGGGCAGGGATGCTGTCCCGTGGTTTGGTGGTGGACATTTCTTTTCTTTTTTTTTTTTAAATGCCTACAGCACCTGGTATTCCTAGGTGGTCTCCCATGCAAGTACTAACCAAGCCTGACCCTGCTTAGCTTCCAAGATCTGATGAGATCAGGCACGTTCAGGGTGGCATGGCCATAGACTGGACATTTCTAAGAGCAAAGAACAGGTTCTTGTCAGATGGATCTGGAAGGGCAGAGGTGCCAATGCCCTCTGCCCCTGTTGGAGCCTTGCTAAGCCATGTTCTAGCTAGCTCCTATCTGTGACAGGGGTACTTTGCTCCCTGCTCTTCATTACAAAGGAATGGGTTTCTAGCTTAATTGAGGACACCAAGGGGCCAGTCTTGGGGTCTCTGTTTTCCATTC